AATAATGTCATAATATCAACTCTCTATGCGTAAGACTAAAAAGAAAGATGTTATTTTAAAATGTGAGAGGAATATTATGGTTTTGACAGCTCTTAGTGAGATAAGATACCTGGGTGTTTTACTATTACAAAAGGTTTATACAAGTGACAATTGTAATATTAATAGCAATAACTGAAACTCTAACTCAAAGAATGGTAATAATAAAGTTTAAGAAGCAGGGCTGGGGATTTAGCTCAGTGGCAAAGTGCCTGCCTGGCAAGCACAAGGTCATGAGTTCGATTCCTGCAACCAGAGAAAAGACAAAAAAAAAAAAAAAAAAAAAAAAAAAAGAAGATGCACTCTATCCACTCCCCTTTGTGGACCATCATCTCCAGGTTTATATAACAAGTGCTTGCCTTCCACTGGTGAATAGTCTTTTTAGAGCCTTGTGTAGTAATTCTAGTACTTCTTTATTTGGTATAATGTACCATTTCCATTTGGGGAACAATACTGCAAAGTAGTTGTGACGTGGGTCAGCATTTGTAGGAAAAATTCTGCACTGGAACCTCTTAGCCGCAGCTTTTTCAAAAGTTTCTCCCTTGCAACATTCATCTGAATATCCTTCTGTAGTTTATCTGTAGATACCATTCTTTCAGAATTATCTCCCTTAATCTGCTGTAGCATCCTACTTGACAAATCTTCTCTTAAAGATCCAATAAGGGATGATATTTTTTCAAATACAAGTATCCTAATATTGTCCCGTTAATATGAAGACAGTCACTGTAGTATCATCAGGGGGTTATTCTCCTTTTAACTTGTTTTTCATTGTAGAACCGTGAAACTGAGTCCCAAGATGTGAGAGGTCCCAGTGCTTTGGTCCATTGTTAGGTTGAAGAGATTCTCTGCTATTATTTGTGCCTATCATCAGAAATCTTAACAGAATGGAGGAGAAGTAAAAGAACCATATTGCTAAAGTCAGAACATTCTGAATAACAACAAAGAAAAACCTAGCCTTTTCTGGAAGGAAAACAAATCTTACTTGCTCTATAAATTTTAACAATGAAAATGTGCAGCTAATATCTAGAAAAATCGGAACAGCTAATATCTAGAAAAAACAGAGAACTAATCAGTTCTCACATGTTGATTGAGGGAAAATTGGGACTTATTCCCCTCTAAAATTGTCGAGACCAGACAGCAGATCTTCATTTATATCACCTATGTCTAACAATGCTTCATCTATGTCGAGGATCAGGTCTTCATCATCTTTTAGTGAAAGTATTGATTCCAAATCAGAGAAATTAGCAAGATCTGGTAGTGGGGCTTCATCTGGAGGAGCTGCACCTGCTTCTACTTGTTCTGCTCTATTACTTGGTTGTAAACGAGGAATTTGCTGCCCTTGTGAAAGAAAGTGTAAAATCTCTTCAGCAATTCTTATTAACTGGGCCACACAATCAATGAGTCCACCAAGGAGTTCAGGCATTGACACAGGCTCCATGCTTCAATTCTCTCAGGTAAAATACTACTAAAGGCTGTAGCAAATAAGCTCTTGATGACAGTAGATCCTATGGGCCCAACAATGGTTCTTTGGTTGTTTTAAATGAGAAGTGAGGATGCTGACATAAATATGATGGTGATCAAATATAGAAGGAGGCCAGTGGTACTACAGAACTTTTGATGGTGTTGGTTCACCTCTCACAAAATGTACAAATAGTACTGTTGTTTGTACTAGTAGTGAACTGCTATTATAATGACCATCAGACAGATTGTCACAGCTGAGAGACAACAGCAAAGCAGACCTAATAACAGAATAGAGAAATACAAAGATTAGCATGTGTGAGCTTTTATTCATCCTACAGTCCCTGGCTATAGGATACCTCTATCAAGAGTTGACCATAAGATTGAAGGGGAATCTGTAGCTATTGTTCCTCACTTTTTGATACCTTCTGATGATCTACCACCTCTCTTCCCTTTGAATTTCTCCAGGTCTTCATCTCTCATTAGGGAATTTGAGACCAAGTGAGCACAGGTAGTTGGCCTGTACCTCTTGAAGAACTGTATTGAGGGAAGACATGAATTCATGGTTTTTCAGTTAGCTCTGTCATTACTAGCACCTTTGCCTCATTGTCATTTATAGCTGGAGCCACTAAATATTTTCTGTGTTTTTAATAATCCATTAATGAAAGCTTCCAATTGCCCTGAGTCCTGGTACTGCATGGTAAATGAAAGTCCCACATTTTGTGTCTTTTGCAAACTTTGAAGAACTGCAGTTATAAAATTAGATCCATGGTGGTTGTCAACTTAGTGCCCACTTTCCGTATCTAGTAGTTAGTTCTTCCAGCTTTGTCTAAGGCCATAATGTACTGTTTTTATCTGCATGCATAGTGGGCTCTGCACACCCACTTCTTTAAGACAATATTGTTTGAAAATCTAGGGATCAGTCTAATATAAGCTACCTGCCACTTTTGTCTACCTTACCCTTTAAATGAATTCATTCCCCTTAAAATGGATTCATTGAGGACATAAAAGTTACTAGTAATTTAACATACCTCATACTGTTTACTCACTTTTTTGTTTGATTCATGGTTTTATTTTTTAGTTTCTCATGTACTTACCTACTACATTTATGTCCATATACCCTGAGGTTTCTCTTGTCCTTTCTATGACTTTAAAGTGAACTGACAAGGGAGCTAGGTCAGTTGGAACCCAAGGGTGCATGGCCTACATTTTTTGGGAAGAGGCAGATGTTCTCCTCTCTCATTCAAATGGGAATTTTGTCTCTCCAGTCTAATAAAGATGATTCATGTCCTACATGAACTGCTAAAATCTTTTCATTAATTTATTTTCACATCTCTCTTCACCATTTTTTCCAGCAATAGTCTAGTCCAATATTTTTCATTTATTAGATCATGTATCCCTAGTCTATTGCTGATTAGTGTGGCTATATACCTTTGGCCACTTTTTTCTTGGGCATACCTACCCATTAAATTTCAGAGTAGCTATGCTGTAAATCGGGCTGCTTGTCTTTCTCTGACCTCAGTCAGGCTTCTCTTAGTTAAGAATCTTAGAAAGCAACCATCTATCTCACTCTTTTAGGATACCTTCAAGCCTATTATTGCCTAGTTTTCAGCTGTTCTGACCAGAGTGGGGCCCAGTAAGCCAGAGGCTTCACCTCGAGCTAACTGTACTCTTTAGATGATTACTGGAGTATAGTAAGTCATCAGCCAGTTGGTGTGTGACTTAAACATGGAGCTGACTGGTCCCTACAGGACCTATTTTGATTCACTCAGTTATATAGTATCTCCAATTAGTGTAAGTTCTGTCAGATCATTCTAATTTTTAGTCCAAAATCCTACCATTTCCCACTAAGTTTACAGGGTATTTTTGTGTTATGGCACTTAAAACTATCTCATAGATTCTTATGTTTTCTGTCACCCACCCTATCATCATTATTTATATAGACTAAAATGTGTCATAAGATTAAGAAACCTGTTTTGTTTTCCACTGTGTGTCCAAGGTAGAGAAACGTGATTGGTATGTGGTAGGAAACCCATGTCCTTGAATGAAGGGAAAATACAGCAGGAGGAAGGAGCAATTTTGGTTTTCTGGGTTTTTTGGTTTATTTCTGAGATAGGGTCCTGCTCTGCAATTTAGGCTGGCCTTGAACTCATGGAGATTCACCTGCCTCAAGCTCCTGAATGCTAGGATTACAGGCATGCACCACCACGCCTGGCTGGGAAGGAGAACAATTTTTAGCATATTCACCCAGTAAATACAGTCAAGCTTCAACCGTATGTGGTAACAGTCATGAGTAAAAAGATCAACCAACTCATCAAAAAGTATAGTTGATAAAACAAAGAGGCACAGAATGACAAAAATATTAACAAATCATATACAATATCTAAGAAATTGTACTCAGACTGTGTAAGAACTTCTCAAATTAATAATAAAAATACAAACAACTGAACCTTTTAAAAGGGCAAAATTATGAACAGTCATTTAAAAAATGAACAGGTAATAAACTAAAATTTGACAACACTAAGTGTTCACAAAGGTACAGAACAACCAGGATTTTCACATGCTTCTGGTAAGAGTGTAAATACCTGTCAATTACTTGTAAAACCAGCACACACCTATCTATGTCCTGGGATTCTACTTCTAAGTATTTACCCAAGAGAAATAGAAGCTCACAAAAAACTTTATACGAATAATTACAACAGATTTATGTATAATAGCTAAAAAATGTAGAAAAAACATCAAGTATCCAATGACAGGACAATAAAAATAAACTGTGGTTTATTCATAAAATGTGACACTAATCACCAATAAAAATGGTGCAACTCATAGTAACAAGTACATAGAATATTAAAAACTTTGAATTTAATGAAAAAGCTAGCCTCAAAAGAACACATGCTGTATGTTTCCATTTATATACAAGTCTAGAAAATGTAAAATAATCTACAGTACAAAAGTATCAGAATAAAGGTTGTATCCAGGGTATGGGGGCTGATTGAGAATAGGTATAAGAGAACTTTTTAGGGTTACAGTAATGATATTTAAATAGGGCTGTTAGTTACACAGGATTATGCATTTGTCAAAACTCTCTTAAAATTTGTACATTTCACTGTATGTACATTTTACTACCCTCAAAAGTAAGCAAACATAATCCATAGCCTCAAAAACTATGCATCACATGAGATGGTATGTCCTAGTTATCTAATAAATGTATTTAGGGATGAACTATTATGTCAAACAATGAGAATTCCACTTTTTATACAGTAGTACATTTAATTCTCATAATAAAAGGACTCTGTGAAGTTATGGGTGGACAGACTGAGGAGCAGGGGGACTGAGTAACTCACCCACGTTCCACGGTCACAGGGTAAGTGAAAATGCAGAGCTGGAGGTCAGCTCATGTCTAACCTCCAAAATGCTGTGTCAGAGGATACAAAGTCAGGTTTGCCTACAGTTTGCCAACTGGCTATAATGGGGCAGTGCCTACATCTCATTCTCATAAATAGGAAAAGAACTATGAATGCTAATCACATTTCTGGCACTAGAAACAGACTGAATTTGAAGTTGAATGTCACTAATGCAAAGGGATGGAGAGAGCTAAGTCAGTCTCCTACGGAATCCCTATCATCTGTCACAAGGAGGTTCAGAGATGTGTCCACTATTTGCCCATCTGTGGCCTACAAACTGGCCTAAACACTCAGAAATTACTCACCTGTGATAGAGCCAAGACGGATAAGAAGGGCAAGGCTATGGCCATAAAATGGTATCTGTTCTTCTGCTTTCAAATAGGACAGGAGCACTCCTCCTGCAACTAAACCCCCTAAAAAAGATAAATTGCATAATCAACAGGTTTAAGGATATCATCAAGATGTAGAATAAGGACATAATGCACAAAAATTTCAGAGAGCAAAGAGTCCATTCTTTTTAAAACTTTGGCTTTTTTATTTTAATTTTTATTTTATTAGTACATATTTGTAGTGCATTTATTTTATTAGTACATCCATCTTGGGGAGTAGGTACACGTACACAGCACACTTTGTTTCATTTTTTTACTCTCCTTTACTCTCCTTTTACTCTCCTTTACTCTCCTTTACTCTCCTTTACTCTCCTTTACTCTCCTTTTACTCCTTTTACTCCACCTCCCTCCCTCATCTCTAAATCTTTTTTCCCCGTTTATATTCTTATGATGCTTTTCTTTTTGAGAGTGTAAGTAAAAGTGCTTTTATTTTCATAAATAAAAAGGTAACTCATTGTAGAAATGCCACTCAGCAGAAGTAGTGAGTGACACTGCCTGCCAGGGGCATAAATGCAGCATTAGCGTGAATAGTTAGAGTTCTCTGGCCTTCTTGTAACTCCCTCAAATTCTCAACTTATTATTATTCTTAACTCACGTTTATAACATATAATGTGGGTATTTAGGGACACATCTCTTGTAAATTGGAAAAGTTCCAGGGTACCGAGGGTGAGGGGGAAAGAGAACGTAAGAATTAAAATATGCCGTGCACAGGTACTGAAGAGTCCTTTCTAAGTGAGCTGACAGTCACGGACATGTCTTGTGGCATTTGCTAATTCTGGGCACAGGCTGAAGATGCAACTTGGCCCTAAGGTAGAGGGAGTCTACTGAGGAAAAGGAGAAATCAGCATATTTTTAGGTAGTTGCAGGAGGTTAACATATGGGATTGAAACTTAAGACATGCAAACTGGGTTTTCTTACTGGAAATTAGTTGAGTTTTGGGTTGGTACCTGGACAGAAGAGGCACAGTGAGATCTCTCACAGTCTTCTGGAAATTAGAGCCAACTCCTCACTAGAAAAAAAAGTATTGCACAAACACACTACTGGTATCGACTTCAAAAAGTCACCTAGATTTCAAACTTAGAGGGACATAGAGAAGTTTAATGAATCAATACAATCAAAACCACTCTCAAAGAGCACGTTAGACAAGTGATTCTAAAACTTACAAGGATACAGAAAGGGCTTAATATAACCAAAATATTGAAGAATAAAATTGGAGGCTATATAGTACTATCAGATCAAGACTGAGTCACATAAAGACAAACACTGCATAGTCTCTCCCACATATGGAAGCTTAAAATGTCAATCTGAGTGTATAACTGTGATTACTAGAGGCAGAACCAGGTAGCACGGAGGGAAGAAGAAGGGAGTTCACATAATGGCACCAAAGCACAGAAGGAATGTGTTCTGTATTCACACCCCAATGAGATCATAATAGTTGATACTAACTTATTACAAATATCATGAAGAACTAGAAGAGACAAATTCGAAGCTTCAAATATAAAATGAAAGGAGAGGGAAATGTTAATTACTTTGATTTGGTCAGTGCACACCCTATGCATGTGTTGAAATAGCACATGGTACACCATTAATATGTACAATTACTACATGTTAATCGAAAACATAAAAGTTTAAAAGGATATTAAGGCTAATTTTATGGCTATGTAAATTAAGACAGCATTGTAGTGGCAGAAGGACAGACAAATCAATGGAATCATGACCCTTACTTCACACCAAATACAATAATAATAATAATATGAAATATAAAAGAAAAATTAAAAATCAATGAAAAGGTAAAACAATAAAGCATCTAGATCAAATTACAAGAGAAAATCTTCATGACCTTAGGTAAGTAAAGATTTTTTTACAGGACACAAAGAGCATTAACTATGAAAGAAAAGATTAGTAAGTTGAATTTCATTAAATTAAGAACTTCCACTTATCTAAAGACAACTTGAGAGAAAAGTTCAATCATAAGATAGAGAGAAAATACAGTATGTATCCAACCAAGAACTTATAACCACTCTATACACATCTAACAAAGGACTTACATGCACTCTATACACACATTTTTCAGTTGCTGTAAATCAGTAAGGAAAATACAACGTGGTTTTAAGAAAGGACAAAAGAATTGAACTGACACTTCACAGAAGAAATTATGCAAATGGCCAAGAAACACTTGAATAGTTGTTCATCATTATTTCTCATCAGGGAAATGCTAATTAATACCTCAGTGACACATACAAAAGTCCACCAGAATAGCTAAAATTGAAAAGACTGACATCCAGCATTAAAAATATGGAGCTGCAAGGGATTCTTATACATTGCTGGTAAAACGTATCTGATGCAACTACTCAAGAAACTATTTGGCAGTATTTACTAAAGCTGAACATACCTTTATCTTGTGAACCTGCAATGCTGCTGTTAAATATATAACCATATTAAGACTGTAAATGTCCATCAGCACACATGTACAAGAATTTTAAATGAAATTAGATGCATAAAAGTACAGCACTTTTATGAAATTCAAGAACAGGCAAATGAATGTATGGAACGGAAGTGAACGAAGTCGTTACCTCTGAGTAGAGGGTTATTGACTATAATGGGATAGGAGAAAGCTTTCTGGGTTACCAAAGATGTTGTGTATCTCAAAATGATTACATATATTTAAAAAGTTAGGTGATGAATTTTGAGATACAGCACCAAATCCAGCTGACCCTGATATCACATGACTATAATCCCAGTACTCTAGGAGGCTGAGGCAGGAGGATCACAAATTCAATCCCATCTTGGGTAATCAAATTAGAACCTGTCTCAAAACAAAACAAAAAAATTTAAATGGCTGGTACTGTAGCTCAGTGCAAAGGCCCTGGGTTCAATCTCAGTATTGTTCAAAAAAAAGGCACTGAGATAGAGCCTTAAAATTTGCATCAAACCTCAAACATTTGATTTTTTAATTTCAAGTCTTCTTCCTATAAAACTAATGAGGCCAGCAAGATGATGATAAGACTCCACATTTTATAAATAGCTCAGAAAGACTACTGGGGCACAGGTGACAGTAACCATCTTATAACTATGATTTTTTTTATTTTTTTATTTTAAAAATAAAAGGAGGAAAACATTAACAGACAGACAACATTTTACAAAATAGCAACAGTACAGACAATACAGGGCTACAAACAAAGTGGTAGGAAATTAACAATGCTTGTTGTATTACATACTGATATCTTCAAAGTGGTTTCTCATGAATACAGATAGACACATGCAATATTGATCAATCAAGGACTCATCAACTATGATTTTTAACCTCTCTCTAACTCTCTCTCTCCCTCTCTCTGTCTCTCTCTTTCTCTCTCTCGACATTTTTGTTAGCCTAACTAAGTCAAAAGTCGATAATTTTTCTTTTAGTCCTACCTTGCTATTTTTTGCTCTTTCTAGCTGGAAATCTAGAAATAAATGTCTAACAGTAGGGGAAGAGGAGGAAAGGCATCCAAATCCTCCAGGTCTATGTTCATAGTTGATAGGCTTTTCTGCATTAGGTAAGGTAAATTAGTTCACATCTGAGGGGAACAGAAGTATTTACGTGGGAGAGATTAAAATGTGCCTTGGATGAGTACAGGCGTCAGTTTCCTACTCACAGACAAGAAATGTTTTCATAGCGCTCCCTTCTGCAGTGCTGCAGCACCATTTGGGTACATGCGTTCAGTTTAGGGGTGTGTGTGTGTGTGTGTGTGTGTGTGTGTGTGTGTGTACGGTGGTTGTGTGGACTGCACCCAGAGCCTTTGCAATGAGCTACATTCCCATCCTTTTTTTCTTTCCTTTTGAAACAGGGTTTTGCTGAATTGCTGTGTTGCCCTCACTAGGCTCAAACTTTCAGTCCTCTTGCCTCAGCCTCCCAGAATGCTATGATTAAAGGCATGTACCACCATACTCAGCTGCAATCTAGATTTGTTTGTTTGTGATAGCAGGAATCGAACTCAAGACCTTACGCTTGCAGGCAGGCGCTTGTGCCACTGAGCTATAGCCCTGGCCCCAGCAATCTAGATTTTCAAAGTAACTACTCTAAACATATATGACGTCTCACAGCCCTACAATTTCTGAGGAAACATTCAACAGGATCTTGTCCTCAAAGGGCAAATTTGATCATTTTGACATAGCAGTAGCATTTCTGGGAGAATATAATAAACAAAGCAATAGGATTTACTCTTCAAACTTTTTAAAGCTGCAAATCTTTGCCTTTAAAAAATCTGTGCAATAAGGCATTTGCCTGTTATAGGATCTGACATTTAAAATCCCCATGAACCATCTTTAATTTATCAAGAAAAAAAGAGAAAGAAATGTGCAGCTGAAGAGCTAAACACAGCCCCTTCTTGAAAATCTATGAAAAATTTAAAACAGAAACTCAAACAAGGGGGAGTAAAATATGTCCTTATGGTCAACTTAAACCAAATTCGACTGAATTTCTTTCCTCTTCCTCTAAATTTTCTCACTGCTACAGACTCACAGATTCTTGCATGCCCTTCAGAAAAACAACAGTCACTGCAGCAAACAACCACTTTTGAAAATACCTCTTAGTTATTTCTCTAGACAGACACAACATTTCCTCAAAACACTGTTCGAACATAAAGAGAGGCATCTATCCTGACTTGGTGGGAGCCACGTCAGCTTGTCCCCCCACATCTTGGCTGCTGTGAGATGCCCCAGGACTCCAGAGAGTCTGCAAAGAGCTGTTACACTTTGAGAAAAGGTTTTGGTTTTCAAATTTTACCAGTGCAGAAGACAGGGCCTAAAATAAAGGAAATGAAAACAGAACCTAGATGCAACAAGTAAAGGGATTCTATTCCCAAGTCTTCCTTCAGTTTTCAAAGAGGGAAAAAAGGAATTTGTGTTTGCTTGTCAGAGGATCACAGTATTCTCTTTGGGAATAAGATAGTAAAGAATAAGACAGTAAAATGATGCTAGTGATCATAAGTAGGACATGGCATCATCAGATTTATATTTGAATCCTAACTTTACCATCTACTAGCCAGAGGTTACTAAATTACCCTGCCTCAGCTTCTTCATCTATAAAATGAAGGTAATAAGTCATAAGAATTACATGAGTTAATACATATGACGAGTTTAGCATGGTTCCTTGTATATAGTAAATACCTAAATGTTAGGAAAGATAGCTGTGCTAGAGAAATTCCAGGATCCAGGAAACACGTTCTAGCTACTGACTAGCCTAAAAGGCAGGGGATGACTGTAGGCATTATAAAAATGTGAAGGAAGTACCAGAGATAAAATTCCTTTCGTAGTTATAACCAACATTAGAGGATAACGTTAAAATTGAATTGAGACAGGAGGGGACAGACCTGTCTGGCTCTAGTTCACGCATGACCCCTTCAGGTGGTGGGAGGACAATCAGAGGCTATAGGGCAGTGATGGCAAACCTTTTAGAGCTTCCAGCGATACAAAGAGCCTGCTGCGCCACGTATGCCATAGGTTCGCCACCTCTGCTCTAGGGTATCTTTGCAGATAAACAAACTTTGCAGATAAACAACCTAACCTGCTCTCACACTTGAAGCACTTTCTCACTCTGGTTCTGAGCTCTGGCAGGGCTGTAGTAATATGAGCTGCACAAGCACCACTTCTAGGCTGGTGAAAACTGACAACACTGAGAACTAAGCATTCGCTATGCCTCCAGGACACTGCCAGCAGCACAGAGAAGGCTCTGTACTTGGTATCAGGGCAGTGATGTTCACCAAACATTAACCAGTTACTCTTCAGAAACAGTTGCTTAGGAAGTAATTGGCAAGATCACTGAGGCAAGGTAATCAAGGTGCATTACCTTCTGCTTACCGTGACTGCACACAAACTAATCCAGACTTTCGAGTCTTCCCACATGAGTCATTTCAGTAAGAAGGGGAAGGAACATCACGGCCTTTTACCCCTTAACACCTTCGCCTGGATTTCATCTGAACTTCAGGAACAACTGTCAGAAATTTGACAAGTGCAAGTTAAGCA